TCCCTTATTGGATCGTAACACTACTGTGGCGATGATGTTCTTGATCGCGGCAAGCGCGCGCGTGTGAATAGGAATGGCGGAAGACGTCCTGATACTTCTATACTATGGGTTCCTCGTTAGTTGCGGTAGTGATAGAAGTATGACCAAGGAGTACTTACTGTGCTTCTTTGCGTACCTAACAAAGCTGGCGCAAAGGGCGACGGCGATGAAAGCCAAAACAGCGACGATGGTTTTCGCGGCGGAAAAACCATACGCTTAGAAATGAATACAAGTTGCAGATAAACTGTAATAAGCGCCTGTAGATCGTTAAAGAGCTTGTGTTGTTGATAAAGTGCTTGCTTGCTTTCCTGAACTCTGATGAATATTCTCTTTCTGGCGAATCAAGATCAAGCCTTTTACCCATCTTTGTATTCGCTCCATACCTAGCTTCCGCTTCGACGCCGCGCGCGTGAACAACAAATCGGTCGAGTTCATGGTGGTGTTGATTCTCGCTCGGTGATAATGTGCTTGACCGGTAGGTATAGGCTTTTTGTAACTCTTGCTGTCGCTAGGTACCTTTGCTGGGCTCGGAGATGATCTTGTAACACGAAGAGGTCGGGCGGGGCAAGAATTCAGGCGCTGGATAAGGGGAAATTTAATGGGTATTGCGATCTATTACAGATGAGTGCAGCTGCCGATGTTGCTAGCTTTGCCATGGCCGCTGTCGTGATGTGACTACCTGTGCTGTTGTTGCGACTGGTGCTGCCACTGTTGCTATTGCGAGTGAAAGTTAGTGCCTGGCAGAATTCCAAACAGTAGGTTACGAATAGAGGTCCCATAAAGCAAGGTGACGTAAAGGAGGGCAGAGGAGTACTTACTGTTGCAGCCATCAGCATGTCTTGACTGCCTTGGCAGCAGTGGATACAATCCACACCTGGTGGCCTTTGTATAGTAGTCGGACTTTGTCCTTTTTCTTTTTGCTTCGTGGCGAGGACGTGGAGCAATTCGACAACGTGGGTGAGAAGAAAACTAGCAGAAGCCATTTTGATGATTGTAAGTCGTGATTCCTGGTTTGAAAGCGTTTAGGATCTGTTATGACAGGAAGTGTTGTGAGCAATTTCTTGTTCTTGCAAGTGTGAGTTGATGATGCTATGCTTGCTACATGTACTGTCGCAGTATGGGGCGCCCATGGGCCACTCAGATGGTACTGATGGATAAATGCTCGTGCGGCGTTTTCGGAAGCTGAGCAGGAGGGAGCAAAGATTCGGGATACTCGGGTGCCTGTTGACAGTAAACGTTAGTTGTGGCCATGGTACCAGATGGGAGGCTCTGGACGCAGATCCGGAGGACGTGTACCGATGAAGAGACATGGTGGAAAAAGAGGATATGGATTCTTACCTTTGGAGTAGGTTTAATTTGCCTGCGACCAGATACAGCACATGGAAGAGGCTTTAGGTACCACAAAATGGCTTGGTGAAAGCCACAAAGAAGTTTCGATGTGGCCTTGTTGGCTCTGCTGTCGGAGCGATCGGAGTGGAAAGTTTATGATTCAAGGAGAAGAAAAGCTGGGAGGAGGGGAGGGAACCCTCAACATCATTACCTGCGTGGACCGACAACGTTGAAAGTTGGGATGCATCTTGTTCAACACTTTCTCATTCGCCTTCCTTGGTACCTTCCCCGTTTATCTATGCAAAAAAAAGGCACAAGCCAAAAACTCCATTGACACTTTCTAATATGATTCTTTAATCCTCCCCGTCCGTCATGCTCCGAATCCCCCATCCATCTAAGGTATGCAAAAAAATAGAAGAAACCCAAGAGAGTCATAAAACCTCCTCCCCCTTTTCCATCTCGTTTCCACCAGACTTCCCACTTTCTCCACTCGCTACCTCTAGGCACTCTGCTCTTGTGATACCCGGACGGCAAAGACTTCGGACTCCCTCTTCTCCTGCCTTCGAATCTTTCTCCACTGTTTCCCAGACATCCTGCTCCTTCCTCCCTTCTTCACAATCCACCCCCTCTCGACAAATCTGACTTTTTGGCTGCTCCCGCAGCTGGTGATGCTTTGACTTTTGAGGCCGCTGCTCGTGGTGTTTTGGCTTTCGCCGTGGTTTGTGATGTTTTGCAGGCTTTCGAGGCTGCAGCTGATTGTGTTTCAAGGCTCTCGATGCTACGGCTGGTGATATTTTCCAAGCCTTCGCGGCCGCAGGTGGTGATGGTGATGTTTTGGTTCTGGGAACCGCAACTGGTGGTGCTTTGGCTTTCGCGGCCGCAGCTGATGTGTGTGCTCAGGCTGTGGTTGCTCTGGCTGTTGTTGTTGTTGTTGCTGCTGTCTGTTTGGATGCAGTCGCCGCTGCTGAATTGGCGGCTTAGAGTGTGGCTGCTCTGCTGGTACTTCTTGTGGTTGCTGTTGCGGCTGGTACTGTTGCCGGTTCTGCTGCTGCCGTTGACGGCGGCGATGTTGCTATTGCGAATGAGAGTTAGTGCCTGGCATGATTACGAAGGGGAAGTTACGGACGAAGGTCCGATGAGAAGAGCAGGAGAGCGCTTACCTTTCCTTGTGTCGGAAGCTAGTATAGAGCCCCATGGCAATGACGGCCACCATCGCAATCAAATAAGTCGATGCGGTAAGCGCGCGCGTGAAAAAAGGCAGCTGCTGCGCAGCGGAACATGGCTTGAGGCTTCTAGACGATGGTTTCCTCGTTAGTTGCGCTGTTGCGGGATGATGGAAGCAGGACCAGGGAGTAGTTACTGTTTTGCGTGGCGAAAGCCAACGCACAGGGTCACGACGATGAAGGTCATGACGGCGATGATGTTTGTGGCGGCAGGAACTGCGCGCGGGAAAAAAGAAGTGGCAGATGACATCTTGATGATTGTCTGAAAAAGGCGCGATGGTTTTGATGATGTGCTTGTTTGTGCTTGCTTGATTTGATGCAAAAGTGATGAATCTTGAGCAAGTGTGAATGTGTGTTTTGATGATGTCAAGGGAAAGAGAAGTGCAACTGGGAGAAGTGGGCCGAGACTGCCTATACCTTTGAAGGAGTGCACAGTCTGGCCCCTGATTTGTGAAACGCGTCTGTCCTGAGGACTTCCCAAAAGGGAACTGAGTTCTGACGCGTAGAACTTGATGAAACTCAGGCGCGTAGGCTTATTAGGTGCAATTTGTGTCCCTACGAAGGTTGCCAAATCTGGATAATTAGGTAGGGAACCGCCCACAACCAGCGTCGCTACAGGCAACTCGAGCACAATATTAGCATGCATAATCCCACTATGGGAGGCACGGTGAATAACTGTTGAATCACTGATTTTGTGCAACGTCCATACCGAGGGCATTCCAAGACCTCCAAGTTCCATTGGAGCAACGAAATAAGGAACATGGAAGCCGATATGCAACCGAGGGAGAGGATTGTCCGTCTGGTTCGTACCCATCTATCCTTTTCTTGTTCCACAGAAATATGGTCATTGCATAGGCATGTCTCATTTGCACCTTGTCCTTTGTCTGGTATCTAGAGCTAACAACTGGTTTACCGAAAGACCACGCCTGACGTCCTATCTCGCGGCCTTCCCCGACGGCATCTCCTATATATAATTCCATCCCAATATATCAGACGAACGCACGTATGCATGCGACCCTTCCCGGCGCTAGTGCCTCGCAGCCGCCCACGATTGTCGGGAGGCATGCGTCGGCATGACAAGCCAAGACCTCGAGACAGGGGTACAGTGACCCCACATTTAGGGCTAGCCAATGAGATGTTATACAATATGCAAGCTTAACTCGACGACATTACATCAATGAACGTTTCCAAATGCTCGATATTGAAAAAGTGGTAATGTCTGGCATTGTTGTGGCCCAACACAGATGGACCGACACTTCGCAGTTCGACCGCCCATTAGCTTCAAGGCCTGTACTGATGTTAGGGCAGCCTAGACTTTCTCTTGTCGGGGGATTTCCTGTGCAATTTAACAGGGGGGAAACCACTATAGCCTGACCCGTTGGGCGTTGGACACTCTCCATTTTTAGGTCCTTAGTTAGCTAAATGAGGGCCCTGCTAACTGTCATCGTATTCTCCGGTGTTTATTTCCCTAAGGCATGCTACCACTTGCCCGTTAGCGCCCTTCCTCACTGTATCTGTCTCCAGTTCTGGAACAAAACTGCCCTGAGCACGTCAAGAGCCCTGGCCCTCAGGCTTCCCCGTTATACCTTCTGAGGGCATTACAGCGCCTTCTGTTAAGCCCCAAACCCCCTTATGGGCCTGTCGGATAAACTATGGAGCCCGGAGGATACCGCCCGGGGAGCGCGTTTCAGTTGGGACGCGATCAGGGCTGTACAACTAATCAGGGAAGGAGCAAGACGCGTCTTGCCAGAAATCAGGCCACCGGACGGGACTCTCCGGAAAAATATGGAAGCAGCGGACGCGATTCGCCTCAGTGCAGTTGCCTTGGCATCACTGGCTGAAGATTCCCCTTGAATACCCAGCGCCCCCAAAAATTTCTCTCCTCTTCTCTTCCCTCTTTCCTCTCTTTGTCAGAAATGCTAACAACATTCACAGACTTGCAACAACAACAGACACACAACGCACACACACACACCGCAAACATGCAATCATCTAAGTCCCCCTCCCCCTCCCCCTTCCCCCGTTTCTCTTTTTTCGAGATCTGGTTCCGCGCGCTAACGATCGTCCTTTCCTCTCTAGGTTGGATCGGCATGGTCGTGGCCTACGTGACGCTGGGGTCAATTGCGCAAGCGATCCTCATGCTGATGGGTCCGGCCGTGTTCGATCTTCTCGCTTTCTGTCTGTCAATGATTCCCGAGTCACCTGTTTCCGATGATGAC